CTAATCCTTTGTGAAATAAGAAGGAGACTTTCTCAGGGATGATCACATTGCTTAAATTTTACATGTGTATGTACATACATCTAATACTTTTATACATAGTATGTACATAAACCCTGCATTGCCCCACTGTTAAGGACAGACAGAAGTCCACTAGTCTGTATGTTCTGAGGATCTTCCTATTGTGAAAAGGCCTCTTAAATATTTTGGTCAATTATCAAACAGATAGCAATATGAACGTTACAATATCATGAAGTTTTATAAAGTATATATGCTATTGCATAGTGATAGTTGTCATATGTAATAGTTGGTCTTTTTTAGCTGAATGGGCTATTTACCTTCATTCTCAATAAGATCACAACCATATACTGTGCCTTTCTTATCATATGGCAGCTCTACTTTGCACATAATTTCCATCTGTGGCTGCATATGGATCCTCCCAAAAAACTGCCAGCTACTTACTATACATGCAAAGGATGAAAGAAGCTAAGAAACAAAGATCATATCCATTGCAGCTGCCTACACTAAACACAAGTCATCCTTCTTCAAAGTAGTTAAAACTTCACTTCTTATAGCTTATGATCATGCATGATAGTTAAGTAAAACATAAGATCTTTCTTCTGATGGTACCAGCATTCAGAAAAAAGTACCTGCTTGATGACTTGCTGCAGACAGTCTTATTTCAGTCCCTTCTAAGAGTGGATAATTTCATTAAGTGATTATTGCTTTACATACTCAATTAAGAAGGGAGAAAATATGGACCAACATGCTTTAAGAGCTTTATATGTAAAAAAGAAGATCTTAGAGTTAATACGACATATGACAAGCAATTAATCTAACCAGGCCATGAGCTAGAATTCAACCTTATGAGAGCTTTAAAAAACAAATAGCTGAACTAAGCAGCAACATTTTTGATAGACACTGGATTTTGTTAAAAAAAGAGCAAACTAATCACAAACAATGTGACCACAGTAATTTTGAAATACAAACCACTTTCTCTAAAGTAAATGTAGGGAATTTAAATTCATGCAACAAATCTAGCCCAAAACACCCTTCTTGAGAGTTTAAATATGGGACTCCCTGAACCATAACCTAAGAGCTGGGTGACTGAACAGAGGTGGGATCAGCAATACCTCCTTTTCCAGTAACTTGTAAAAATAATCCGAACACCCAAGCTTTAGTAGAAACCAGGTAATAATAGCTCTGATAGAACTAACTAATTTTAATAATAATAATAATCATCTAAAAAGTAAAAACAAGACAACATTAATATATTTAATCATGCCCTGAATTACACCAGCTGGTCTGCTCTAAAAAGGATATCTTAAAGGTCTATCAAATTCAGCAGCACTTGTCAATTTCACCAGAAAGGTAAAAAAAAATTAAATTCTTTTTCCCCTACTCTGTACATACATTCACAATTCCCATTATCTCTTCCTTGATATTTTATATCTCATAGTGTTTCTGTCTTTTCAGTTGACTCATATGTCCCCTGACCAGATGTCTAGGAAAATATTATTTACCTCCACTTAGAATCCTTACATAGCAGCTTTACAAAGGATGACTTTAATGAGGAAGATATCTGTCAATTCAGACACAAAAATATTTTTTCTAATTTATTTAGATTCTTGCCCAAAATGGTGCACATCACTATTGATATGCAGAAAACCATTGATAATTTTAAATTTAATTCAGGAAACATGGGCTTTCTATCTGCTATGTTCTCAGCTTTCAGAAGCAAATTATGAAAAGAAAGGGCACAAGAACCATAACATAACTAATACAATTCATAAAGAAAACTAAGTCCTAAGATGATAAGTATCACAGCAAGGTATATAATTAAGAGTGGCTATAACAACAACATATAAATTAGATAATTATGGATTAAGCAATCCCTTGGGGGATTCTCCCTTGCCCTAGAAAACGTATAACAAGCTCCTTAGATAGAAGGCAATGGCTTTTAAGTATCTGAGGGAGAATTAGGACTACAAAGAAAAACAAAACAAAAAAAAGAACACACAGCAAGATAAAAATCTTAATTTACAATTTAAAGATGGCTCCTTTTTTTTGTAGTTTATTTTATATACTCACTAGTACAGTTTTCACTCATTAAATCTGCTGACATCTGTTGGCTAAAGAGCGCAGGTCAGATTATCAAGAAGTGCAATATCAAATGAACATGAGCTGCTTCTTAGGGTAACAGTAGGGAGACACAAAACACTGCAGCGATTACCAGAAATGTAATTTTTTGTTGTTGTTGTGCCTTACATCAATGTAATAATCCCAGGTGTCCTGGACACCAGACATACAATAATCTTCATAAATCCTAATTCACAGCCATACCATCTGTCAAAAATATTTTTTATGTCTCCTAATAGGTATGCTACATAATTGTATTCACAGTAGGGCAAAAATACATGGTCACACAAATTTGCTTTACCAGTGGAATAGCTCATTATCAAAAATAAACCCAGCACATTACTGGGGTTTCTAGCACTCTTCATATATCAAAACTAACCCTTCCATTCTGTTATTTTCTATAACCTCAAATTCCCAGTGAAAGCAGATAAAGATTGAATTATCTGAAAATCGTACTATAATAATGGAAAAATCACAAGCATAAAAAATAAACCCATAGTATCTCTTTCTAATATGATGATGTTGCAGTTAAAATTAGAAGCTTTGTATTTCGCAGTCACAAAGAGACTAATTTAAGTTCTCAGCCCTGCAGAGCACTAACCCTTTTGGACCCAATCCAGAAAAGCACTTAAATGTGTGTATGAGTTCATGAGCCTGAAGCAACTTCAGTGGGATCAGACATGCTTGATTAGGCCCAGAGCGCTCATTACCCTGCTGGACAACACATCCCTCTAGGACTGACTCGGCATCAGAAGATGACCCTCCCAAACTTCTGTCCCTACTTGCAGAGATGGAGACACCATGAGCTTCTGTTCCTACTGTCTGAAGCAGAAGGTGAAATGTTTGGGCTAAAGTTGGCCTTCCTCCAACAAGTTTTTGAATATCTGCAGTTCCTCTAACATGAATGCAATATTGAAACATTTAAAATTAATGCTGACTGCATGTATGACAATTGTTACAAGAGTTTCTGTAACAAGTTCCTAGTTCCAGCAAGATGATCTTGGTGTAAATCTTTATTTGTACATTAGTTTAAATTATCTGTACAAGATTATACATAAACATGTACCTTAAAATTCAGTAATTGTACAGCAAACAAATAGAATAGTACCTAAGTAAATGGGAAATTCCAAAGATGATGGCAGTTACTAAAAAATACTCCAGAAAATACTTTCTTCAAAAAACCAAACTCAAACTTCATTTCCCTTTAGAATGAGGAAGTGATCCATGAACAAAGTATTATTTCATTCTTCTTTAAATCACACTTCCAACAGCACTTTCCGTGTTCCACCAAGTTTATATTTAATAAGTTGTTAAATAGTTTATATTTAAAAATAAAAGCAAATTTCCAGTAATAGAAAGAGGCAGTTGAGGAACTAAACACACTATTGTTCAGTTATGCACTACAAATATTTGATGCTACTTCGTGGTCTAACAAGTATCTTATAACATACTTTTCTATGTTTATCAAGTATTCATGTTTTAATGCTAACAAAGTTATTATTTAAATTGATGTTCTATGTCTCAGTGATATACTGAATATGTACTACAATGTTTTTCCAGTTTCTCTAAGTTGGTACAGTTCTCTCACAAATTTATAGAAATATATTCACCACTGCAAACGGGAATATTGCTTTCCTAAAGGTCGGAATTATCCATTTAATTTCTATGATCCTTAGTTACTCTACTTAATTTGAGAACTTGAGAATTCCTTTGAGTAAATGTGAAGTCCAAAAACTATCTAGACTGGAATGAATAGCCTAGATACTACCAAGTGCTGTATCTTAATTCAACTGATGCTGTCGCAAGCCAGTTCATTCAAGCAGCTTTGTGACATTTAAGTCGTTTAATAGAAAGGTGAAAATAAATCTATTTTCACTGTAATATCTACTATTTTACTTTGAAAACTTTGCTTCTTCCCTCTAATTGATAAAGCTCAGAATCTATACAAGTTCCTCTACTCCTAAAATTCCACAGAACTGAACAAACCACCAGTGCTGCAATAACTGGCAGTTCACTGTACCCAGGAAGAGAATCACATCAGACAAAACTAGGTCTGTGCAGTAGGTAACTACAACACCTATTCATTATACTGCCCAAATCGACAGGACTTCAGCTGCAAAACACCCTGGCTCAGATGTGCATGGATCCAAAAGTCAGATTAAAAACTTCGTGATTAATTGGAACTTATTCGTACTTCCACAAAACCACTCATTACTTACAATGAATTAAAGATTTCAGTATGGACCACAGTTTTTAATTTTAAATTAAAAAAGAAGACTACAGATCTCACATACATATTGACCACTCTTGAAGGTGCAACATTCACTGCTCTCTTCAGTAAACATGCATCAAATATTTAATAAACCAAAGAAAAAGAAGTCCAGATTTACAGCCACATAGTAGTGAAACAGAAAGGAAACACACAATAAGGACAGTCTAATTATACTCAGACATTTACAACACATTACTTATAATGGTAATAGTGGAAATAAGTGACTTACATAAATGTGTGACATTTTCCATCACTACTCACCACACTAATGCTTCTATGCAATTCATTAAAATTTTAGCTACAGTTCCATGCTTGCACAACCCAAGTATAAAAATAAGATACTCAGCAAAACCATACAGCCCAGCCTTCCACTATTTCTTTTTCAAATCGATAGCAGTGGGCTTGGTATTTATTGCCATCTAATCAGCAGCAGTGCTGCTTTTATGATAGATGACAAGAAAGGCTGAGTAGTCACTCAGCCTATGATGGAAGATGAGAATATGGTGACACCATCTCCTGCAGGACATTCACGCTTGTTAAATGAGCTGCTACAGAAGTTTCATCATGTGTAGGAAAGGAAATAGTCTCCTACCTGTGGAGGTTGGTTATGTGTTGGTCTGGTCTCCGGAAATGAAGTTTTATCCTTTGACTCTCTACTTTGGTCATCAACCGTGTCACCTAGAGAAGTGAAAAAACCCTATTAAATCACTAAAATCATTCATCTTTTATACAGAATAAGAAAAACTCTTCAGTCTTCCTAAAATCAAATTATATGATTCCCCGAGAAAGGGGAAACTCTGTTGCCACATCTGTATTTTACAAATTTGAATACAAGTAAAGAGAAAAACATTAGGAAGTGATCTGCAAAACCTGGGAACAAATCTGTGTCAACTATTTAAATTATTTAACTCCTTAACGGTCTAGCATCAACAATTCTAAATGAAAGGGTTCAAGTTACTGTAGTTTAACTTCTTTGCTGGTTTTGGCTGTCCTGTTCCATTTTCTCCAGAGGTATAGGTAGAGCCAGTGCACCTGGCAGAAGCCTTTGGGAACGGCAGCCAGATTCTGCCCATGCCCAGTTAGCCTGGAGAGCCAATGACACCCGGGTCCATCCACATTTGCTCTGCACTGTCATCAGTTCCCCAGGTCTGACTGGCCACATCCCCCAAGTACAACGCAGTATTCGGTAAAGCATTTTATGAAAACAAGCAGTAATATCTGGTCCTTGTGCCCGCTTTTCAATACCCAAGTATTATTCCTAACAGTGTATGCTGAGAATCATCATCATCTTTATCACAGCTCTTTAGTGCCTATTAATTCCAGTAATGTCTAGACTTTCCAAGACCTTTTCTGGAGTTGAAAAACGCTTCTCAGGAAACTAGTAATTCTCTGCATAATACTCCAAAGCACTTGAACTCACAGCTCTTAAAAAAAGGAAAGGAGGGGGAGGGAACCAAAGGAGATGGGGCATCAGTCATTCTTCAGTTCCACCCCCACTACTTGAAAAAACACAGTTTTTAAGCGCCTATAAGGTGATAAGATAAATAACAACCATGGAAATAAATAATGTCAAACCATTAGTTTATGTTTGTAATGAAGTAGAGTCCTACAAAGAAAAATTATTAGGGACCTTGTAAACACAGTCTGCCTTGGGGAGGTGTAAAAATAGTTAACAGATATATGAAGAGGACAGTAAGCCATATTTTTGATACATTTGCTGTGGACGAGAGTGCAAACAAGTTTAAATTGTACCAGATTTAGGCTAGATGAGTTTCTCCAGGAGTAAGGCTACTTAAACACTTTGAACAACCTAAGGAAATGGTTTCTCTAAACAGTGGTTCATCTCCAAAGGATTTCAGAGGTAGGTTGAAGAAACATCTGCCATGAATGGTTTCAACCCTGGCAAGACAAAGAAGATGAATGACCTTTTTGTGTTCTGTTCTAGTCCTACGTTCCACGAACAATGAAGGAGGAAAGACTCCACAGGATACCCTTCCCTGAAATCAGGATTTATCACAGGAACTTATGCTGGCTGCATGGAGGCTTGTGAAGATGTAAGTAGAGTGAAGTGAGCTGTACAACAACCCACCAAGTGTGCAGGGGCAAAGCTGCATAGCCAGTCAGGAGCAAAGGGACCTATTGGGTAAAGTTGGGTGTATGTATAAACATGCTAAAAAAGAGTAACAGCAGAGATTTAAGAAACAAAGGAACCAATACCATTCCCGAGAAAGCACTCTGAAGTTTTCATATAAAAAAAAAAAAAACAAACAACTAAAAAAAGAATTTCTTGTGTGTTAATGCTATGCAGAATATACTTTTTCCCTGTGATTAGTTTTCCTGAAGATGAAAAGACATACTGTTTTGAAATCAGGACCAAAGGTCAAAAATGTTCACAGGAAAGGAAGAATAGGAACAGCTCATTTGATGAGAAATAACTTTTTTTACTTAGAACTTTGACATCCAATTCCCAGAGTTCATAAGCCCTTAAAAAGGCAAAAATGTAGCGATACATATATTGTTTCACAATTCAAATTGCCTTTAAACACGCTGAGAAAAAACACAAACAAACACAAACAGTTCCTCTTACACAGTCTTGATGTAAACAGGTATATAATTACAATTTTGCCAAACTAAGCAACTGAAATCTGGCTCTGGAAAAAAGATCACAAATACATGACTTTAGTAAGAAGGGTTACCAGATATCTGCCAACACTCCCCTAAAAAGTCTTTCATCAGAGCTTAACTGTAAACATATTCACAGATAAGGCCAGAGAGACCAGTGTAATCATATAGCCTAACCTCTTGTAAAAATAAAGGCCAAAAAATTTCTTGAATTAATTTTTTGAACGAGAGGAAGTTTAAAGCTGTATTTTAACCAAGAGACAAAACACAAAATGATTCATTTAACAAAACAATTAGATTCTGGCTCATATATCCCTTGGTTTAAGCACTGTGCAAAGGTTTAGTCATAAAACTCCTACAGAAAATAAATCTATGTCATATATCAGAAAATGTCATATACCGTTTAAAGTCTGTAAGAATTAGAAATGAAGGGCACTTCAGCGTAATTAGGTTTAGAAATCAGAAGCATAATCTATAACATGCAGAACATTACTGGGAAAATTTATCAGGAAGAAAATAATCATGCTTATTACTGTAAAATAATCCCCTACTTACCAATGGAAAAATATTTTAAGTTAGAACAGAAAGCAGTAGGCATATTTATCCTACTGTCCAGATAAGCCCGTATTTCAAATCTTTAGTCTTGGGAGGCTGCTTTTAAGTTACGTTATGCCTTTTCCAGGCCCAAATAATCCGTGTTGCACTGAAAGGTCAGACATGCATTTGTCCTTTCACTGAGCTGGTGCTGGATTTATACCAACATTCTCCAAGTTCCACTGGTATCTTCTTTTTCCAAGAACTGCAGCCAGGTGTTCCACAGGAAAGAAACACCCAGCCCAGTCTTTATTCTGTACTACGTACATCCTCCCTTAGAACACAGAATTTTTGGTGTCTTCAGAAATCTGCATTCAGCTGCCTATCTGGACCTCAGCAAACTCATATAGAAAGGTTCAACCACAAGTTTGGCTTCTACTCAACAAGGAAGTGGTGTTTCTATTTATACTCTTTCCTCTTCCAGCATTTTGTTAACCTCAAGCTGTGTAGTCTCTTGATCAACAGACAGCATTTAAAAGTCTAGCCCACCCCTCAGTTTAATAAATTAAAACCAATTGTAAATGTATTTTAGAGTCCTCTATAATGTAGATTGCCATTATCTATCCTGGTCTGTGCAAGAATCCTGTGAGACAGTGAAGCACGTACAACACAGCAAGCAGTAACTGGCTACCAAATACATGGATTTTCAAATGTCACCTTCAGCTTCAAAAGGAAGACAGCTATTTTCCATTATACTTTAGTTAGTTGCTTAACTCTTTGTTGCCTGTTATTATCTTCTTTATCCTGCATAGACATGGCAAGAACAAAGAGTATTCTGGCTTCTACTTGGCAGCAAAAAGACAAAAAGTTTTAAGAGAGGATTAGTAGGATCTGAAAATAGGAGAGAATGACTCTGTGGAAGCACCAAGGTTTTACTGCAGTTTCTTTTCCCTCTTTCTCACTCATAAATCTTCCCCTCTCGGAGATAAGGAAGAAAGGCTAGGCACACTAATTTTAAGTTACCCTGCTCCAGGATACACTAACAGAATTTCAGGCTTTAGTCCATCAGTAGTGGCAGTGCTTTCAGTCTAGGGAGCTATCTCACACGTGCTGTAATTCGCTCTGCCCTCTGAACATCTGAGTCTCAGAAGGGGTTTGATGGTACCCCTTTTCTGAGTCCTGCTCTTCTTTCAGCCTCATTTAATAGCCTCTAGCTCCTTCAGCAGGGATGAAATATGTTTCTGCTCAGCCTCCTCCAGCCCTTCTTTGTTGTCCAGCACACATTGTCAGGGTCTCACAGCTTCCATTTACCAGTCAATTCCCATCCAGTGAGTGAGCTGGAGACTGCAGTAGGGTGACACTAGGGAGCCTTGACAGAAGTACCCAGAACATAGAATTGTGGTGGATTTATGTGATCAAGACAACAGAAGACAGGACAGAGGGAAGACCAGTAGAAATTTTTGCTAATGAGCACAGAATCACAAAATGGTTTGGGCTGGAAAGAACTTTAAAGATCGTCTATTCCACCTGTCCTGAATGGATTGTACACAATAAACTGTAAGTAATTTAACTGTTTCCACTGGTGATCAAAGACCACTCAATGATCCATCTGAATCAAATAAGGCACTGGCCAGTTGCTATCCTCTTCAATGGGCCAGATGGGACACTGATGAATAGTTAGTTCTTCTATATTCTTAAAAGTGAGGCTATCATTCTGTTTAGTATTCGTGTTATAAAACCTACATATTAATCCTCATTGACTTCCATATGCACATGGCCAAGACATAATAGCCTTATAAGAATATATATAGCTGGCAAAATAATGAAGTCATCCTAGTTCCAGGTCACCTCATCCTGGTTTCATATGAAAGCTTTTCATATCAACAGCAGTTTCATTTCAACAAGCTAATAATATCCCCTAAAAAAACCGACTATATCAGCAAAAAGATTCTCCACAGCTGCAGCTTCCAGCAAAACAAAAGTTTAAGAGCCTATGCAGCATAAGAGTGAATGAGAAGGAAGTCTGTGTAAGCCCATGCTAAGGCAAAGGTCTGGTAAGTATTTGGTAGCCTCATACTGAGTTTCAACAGTGTATTAAGGAGTCCTACAAATAAATCTTTGATTGGGAGTAGAACTTAACCAGTATCTTCTCTAATTCTCCTGATGAACCATGAGAAAAATCTATATAAAGCCTTCAGTGAAAATCCTAAAACACTGCTTTCTTCAAACTTGTAAAAGGCAGGGGGGGAAACTCTAACAAGGTAAACATCATCATGAATGTTTCAGCATTGACAGACATGAAGTAATGAGGTTCAGCCCTTTCCCAATCAAGAGGAATAGCAAATCCAACTACAAGACATGCCACTGAAGATTATGGGAGTGGCACTCCAAATTGCCACCCAGTCTGATTTTGGTATCCCATCCTTCTGCAGGCAATAACGTAGAGTCTTGATTTTCCTAAACAATTCTGCCAGGGTCTTCTCAACCTGCATCCCACTATCAAGATCACAGTGAAACCAGAA